GGCCTGCGGCGCTAACACCTGAGTCGGATGAAGGGCGCAGTCATAAGTAGGCTTTCGGCCCCAAAAGTCACTAATTTTGTTCCTCGGGGTTTCAGTTGAGTGATTTGAGCGGTTAAACATGAAGTCTCAAGATGGCCGCCACGGACCACACCAAACATTCAACTGTTTTCACGAGCAGCCGGGAGCCCTAATAACCTACCAAATGTTAAATCGCGTCTGTTGGAGTGAAATTTGGTTTTGTTAGAATCGGAAGAACGTGAAGAACATAATAAAAACGACATAATGGACCTATAAGAATGCTGTAGACAATGTGACTCTGAGCGTGGCAACGTCGCAAATCTTTCTGCTAGAGCCGCTGGAGACCCACGTTGAGTACACCAGGTGACATAAAACGTCTTTTTGGTCATTCTAGAGAATATTTAAAATTTTTAGCCCGCCCTTCTGCTTTGAAAAAGCTATTCAGTGGGCTTATGCAAACGACCTCGTGTGTGTCTGTCTGTGTGTCCTGGCAACCACCCCTAAAGGGCTAAAAGGGGGTATCAAAGAATATGAGGTATGATCTCCAAAGGGGTAACTCGTCAAAGTAGAGTCCTAAGGACGAAAATTTGGCCGTTTTGCTCTATCTCTCACCGTTTGGGCGCTAGAGGGAGTGTCTATCACGAAAGTGGCCCAAAAATAAACATATTAATTTTACAAAATATAAGATGGTCTCCTAAGGGTTAATTGGCAACAGTAGAGCCCTCTAAGCGAAAATTTCGTCCGTTTGGCTCTATCTCTAACCGTTTAGGCGCTAGAGGGTCTTGTTCGACAAAAATAAGTTAAAAATTGCTGTAGTGAACAATTTAATGTAAAAGAAGGCCCAAAACCACAAAAGAGGTAAGAAACTCCCTCCCCCACCTCAAAAAACGTTTCTTAGCAGAAGGGTGGGTTGTAGTCGCGGTGTTTCACCGTTACATCCCTTTCTTGTTTCTACGGGGCAAATTTTAAGGACGACGGGCTTTGCGGGCCGAAGGCCCGTTACATCATTTGATTATGTTCTACAGCAAATCGCGTGACAGAAATGGTCGGGCCGCAGGCCCGACCATCGCCGCCGGCAGGCCAAGCAGGCTCGGCCCCTGCCGAACGGAGTTGCCGGTGCAGCAAAAGCTGGCAACTTCGTTTGGCGGAAGGGCGGGCCTGCTTGTTGTATTGGTGAAAAACCTTACTTTGAAAGGTGTTTAATACACGATGCAACGTTGCCAAATTGACTTTTCCCGCCGGGTCACATGTGTATTTAGTGTTAATCTATGGAAATTATGGAAATAATAGTTCATGTTCACAATTTTAAGAAACCAACACCATATCTAAGTAACGTTGCCAAGTTGACTTTTGCCGCTGCTGGGTCACGTGTCTATTTAGTGTAAATCTATGAAAGTAGTAGTTCATGTTCACAATAGACCCTATTCAGTCTCGGCTCCGGGAGAAGAAAACAGGAATCCCGACCGGAACCACTACCTTTATCCTGCCATTTCTTCGCGAGAAAACTTGCAAACCCGACATTAACCCGACAAATTATCACAAAACTTGTGGATTGTGCTTCTACCTTTCAAAGCCATTTAAACGTTAAAATAGCGTTATTTTGTGTAACTGGTTCCGGTCGGGATTTCTTTCTTCTTCTCTTTTAGCCGAGACAGAATAGGGTCTGTTCTAACAAACCAACACCATATCTAAGTAACGAACCTAAAAAAATCATCTCGTCTGTTGAAATGCTATTTTATGAGTATCCCTCTTTCTTCCGATCAAAATGATCCCAAATTTGACTTAAATAGGCGCAATATAACGTTGAGTGCAGGCGGCTGCTAGCAGCCCCTTCGGGAAAACAGTTGAATGTTTGTTGTGATCCGTGGCGGCCATCTTGGAACTTCTTCATGTTCTTCTAACCGCTACTATCACTTATTTCCGAGCCAGAGGGCTCAAAATCAATAGAGTTCTTGCTTTTCATGATACCAAGTTTCAGCAACGTAGGGCCTCGTGCGATAACATTATGCACGGGGTGGCTGAGCGAAGTGCATTAATTAACAGAAGACGTTTCAAATATAGAACAGATGAGCTAGAGGTCTACAAATTTCAGGGTATCGTAGGGGTCACTTCTAGGCAACGAAACGCCAGCCCTAAGGGGGTGAAAGGGGTAACAAATAAATAGGGGTTGGTTCAAAAAGTAGATTTTTTATGGTCTCTTAAGGGGGCAGCCCGGTGAAAAACGAGGGTCGACAAGAGTTTAGAAGAAATTTAATTTAAAAAAAAAACACAACAAAAAAACTACGAATCGCTGCTTCATAAACGGACGGCCCTTTTTATGAGAATGAATTGGGCTACATTTAGGCGTATGCACATACAGTGCACACCTCTGGCAACCCGGTCTTCTTGCAGTGGCGGATTAAGGTTCGGCTGACAGGGGGGGCGATGCACTGTCGGTTGCCTACATACAGGGTTTTTGAGGCGCAAATTGCCTACCTTTCAGGCGGCTTGTAGGTGTGCTTCGTGTTATTTTAACGGAATAAGTAGCCAGAACCGTAAACAATGATTGGATTAAAACATGGCGAGTTTATTTCCGAGCTCAGAGACAAATCTTGGTTACAACAGTAGCAATGTCTTAAAGAATTAAGTTCTCAATAACTTGACTAGTGAACTAATTAGGTCAAGCAGTGACACACAAAGGAAAGAGATTTTCGGTGCAGTAGGTTAGCAGGCCTGACCGGATCAATAGTCCTTCGAATGGGCCACGCCCTTGTGGGTGGCGAGCCGAGTGGCGCGGCGCTACTCCGTGACTGCGGGGTTACTCACGTCAGCAGGCAGGGAAGGGGCGGCGCGATAGAGAACGGCACTCGGTGATCGAAGCAGCTCTCCGCAAGGGGGGGAGCAGCTATGGACCTCACGGCGGAGCAGGCTCGGAAAGGGTTGAAGCGGAGTCCAATAGCTGAACGGAGGCGAGACCTCCGTCGTAGAAGCGTCCTTCTGGGCGGCGGCTCGGTGTAGTCGCCAGGTGTGTCGTCGAGCAGAGCCTCCGGCGGCAAGGCGAGGTGAGGCCCGGACGTCGCCGGACAGGGCCTCCGGCCGCGGGGCGAGGCCTAGCAAGGACTGGTGCGGTCCTTGCAGGCTGATGACTGGGCCAGGTGCTGCTAGGGCTTACTTCGGGTGAGGGCTCACTAGCGGCAACTGTGCGGAAAATTCAATGTCGCGAGCTTTTATAATTTCTGGGGAAAACTTCCCCTCCGCCGGCGCTGGCGGATTTCCTGGAATCGAGTGAGCACGCCCATGACAAGGAGGTGAGGGGTTACTCCCACTACCGTCCATCCTTCCCCCACCCATACGGTGAACGCGTGCACTGCGCAGGCCCTGAGGCGTCGCATAGAAGTGCCTATGAAAAAGCGACAGATGGCGTTGCATGTACTTCCCTGGCCACTGTCTGGCGGGGGAGAGGAAGGGAAGGCCACTGGCGC